TGGGCTCTCAGTGGCTTGCAGCAGCCCTTTGCAAAACACTGTATCAGTTATTTCCCTGCTCCATGATTTTCCCTGCCAGGTTTCTGTGGATGGCAAAGCTGAGTGGCTCTGCCTGAAATCAGAACTGACTCAATGGCCCTGATGCCTATAGGAGAACGCACTTATGACCCACCAAGGGAAACACTTTTCCACCAAATTCTCTCCACTTGGCTCTTAATCTTTAGCTTAACACCACTGTTTTGTGGCTCATCTCTAGAGCTGATGTGTTTTACTAATGGAAAAGGCATCCTTCCCTTCTGCTGAGTTGGGTGGCCCACTGTGCCCATCGATCTGAAGACCATGAAACATTAAGCTTGTACTGACTTTAGGTTTAGGCTGTATCTGACTAGATGTTTAAACGGTGATACCCTCAAAATCTGTACAAAATACTCAAATATTAGCTTTACTAGCCCAGTGCAAAGTACAAGATTCAAGCATTGGAACAGGCTACACCGGGAAGCAGATGAGTCACCATCCCTGGAGGTATTTAAAAGACATGTCGATGTGGCACTTGGGGATGGGGTTTAGTGGTGGGCTTGCCAATGATGGGTTAACGCTTGGACTCGATGATCTTAAAGGTATTTTCCAACCCGAGATGCCATGATTCTATGTTTAAAAAGTGAAGCCCTTACATTGCAGAGACCAGGCTGGCGGGTCCCTAGATGAGGGTGCAGGATCCCTTGGGTCTCTGACCGCCTGGGCAGCCTGTCCCCAGCTTTCGTGGTTCCCCCTCGGCTCCCAGCCCCGGGCGGCGGATCCAAACCCCAGGGCTGGACTGAGAGGCTGCGCCCGCTCACCCCGGGGCAGCTCCGGCTGTCAGACCACAGGATGCCCACGGGACACAGGAGGAAGGGGCACACTGGAGAGCCCTCCGGGGTGGGCAGGACCCTTCTGCAGCGAGGGGGACACAGCACCGGCTCTGCAGAGAGCTCTTCCCCAGGGGATGGGTGATCTTGCAGGACACGAGAGCAGGGCACGGCAGCGGGGCTGCCAATGGAAGGCGCCCGGCAGAACGCCGCTTTGGGGCGGTGCGGCGGAGCCCCCGCCCGGGAGGAGAAGAACTTCCCCGGCGGGGCCGGTCCGGACCCGCGCCCCGCCCCGGAACC